GTAGTGTGTTAGTAAGTAGTATACTACTAGTAGTATATATAGTATATATATACTATATATATATATATATATATATATATATATATATATAATTTGAATTCAAATCAGGCAATAAAACACAAACAGCAAAGGGATATTTTACTGGTTGCAGAATACTGCACAGGGAGCTCTTCCAGAAAAATAACAGTAATGATTATATGCTCAAACCAAAATTGTCCCAAATTTTGAATGTCATTCACCTTCTTTGGCTGATATTTTCTCCATTATGGAGTACATTGAAATGCAATAAACTCACCCATCCACCATCTCAAATAAATATTTTATAATTCTTAGTCTTGTATAATATTACAAAAATTGAAAGAAAGAGCACAATATTACCCTCCTATGTAATACAAGGAAATGCAATATAATCATCAATCACCACCATTAAAACATGCTTATTTAGTTCAAGTTGCAATATAAATATAATATCTCAACAGATATTATTATTCAAGAACATTTTTTTAGCTGCAGCCTAGCTAGCAGGATTTTAAATAAGTTTAAGATGCTAAACTATCTAAGTAATATATCTGTAGAAATTCATGTTATCTAACTTTTCCTGCTGCAACTGAATATTTACCAATATTTTCTGACATACCAATAAGTAAAATAGAAAATACTATCTCTTAGTTAACATGTAACAGCTTTTGGTAAAATATATAGTTCTTTTAATATAAGAATTAATTTACATCCTTCTTAGTCTAAAAAAAAAAGATACATTCAATTGATATAAATTATTTTCATGTACATTTTGTTTCTAGGTTAAAATATCTATTGGAAAAATGTGGTTTATAGTATATTAGTTGAAAGATAGGCATATCACATATTTAAAGAAAACTATTCTTTTGGAGCAATTAAAGAATTTAAAAATAAAATGATTGAAATTTTAAACAAAACTAACTAAACAAAAAAATTTTCAACTTGGAATAACGTTATAGAAATATCATAAGAGGTAAAAATAAAAAAAAAGTAACTTCAATGAATTTTGTACTAGTTTGTAAAGTGCTTTTGAAACTGAATATATTGTTTTTTGTTTAAACTAAATGTTTTTGGTGTGAATTTGGCTAAAATTAAATGTTTCAAATTTTATTTTAAATTTTGATTTTAGAAATATACATGTTAAACATTTATTTTTTTTGTCTTAATAAAATTTATAGTTGGATATATTTCCAACTTCTAATCATTTAAAATCTCTATCTAGAGAAATGTATTAGGTGATTATTTATTCTAATTAAACAGTCTTTGATGATCCTTGTATACCTGCTTAAGTTCACAACAGTATATTTTTTAAAACAATATATCTCTTGGATGCTGTATAAAAGTTGTTAGTTATCATTTTTTGTACTGATAATATTTTTTCATATCTTTTTTGTAAACAAAGTAATGAAATTTACAGATTGCAGAAGATGAAGAAATGAACTTTGTAAAAGTTTATAAGAAGTTTCTAATCATAAATTTTATAATAAAACTAAAAATATTCTTGAACGTATCAGTCTTAAATTAAAATTGATTAGTTTATATAAATATAAATTAAGTATATACCTTCTGTTAATTTTAAAAGAAAATTTTGAAAGTCTAGGATAATTTTATTATTAGTCATTGATAAAGCAAGTAATAATTTTTGGTTTCATTTCTATGCCCAAATTCTTGTCTATGAATTTAGTAACAATACCTTTTGAAATGTAATAAAAAAAAATGATAATATAACTAATTTATTCCAAATGGAACATTTTGGTTGATAATTTAACATTTACTTTTTTTCAGCAATTCTGAAATTACATTATATCATGCAAATTTTTGTTAAACATTCTGTAAAGATTTGTTGAAACCTATTGGCCTTACAGTTAGTAAAATTATATATAATTTGTATGAAGAAATCAAAGTAAACAGACTAAAGTTACTGACTAATAGTTTCTGGATTAACATGTAATAATAAACCAAGTTTACAGTGCTTTTTGATATGGTAACTGCTGCTTCTTTATTAGTTTTTGACTTTACTATCGTAAATACTAAAATACCTTTAAGTTAACTGATTTGGTTAGTTTTCAATTTATTAATAAACCAGTTTTTGAAAGATGCTATTAAATTATCAAAACATAATTTCACTAAAGATCAGTATAAAAATGATTTGATTTTCAATAACTACATTGCATTAAGTAATGATGCATTTTAAACAACAAATTAGTGCTCGTCTGGGGAGTAGACAGTTATTCTACTAATCTAACTAGTCATTATTTCATTATATACTCTATTTGTGAAACATCATACCAATCTAAAGTTTTAATTCAATTTTCATTATGTTGATGATTTAATTTTGTGTAAACAATTTCATTAATTTGCCCAGATGATACAGAAATTCAGTACACCAATATTAGAAAAGATACTGCTCAGTATTTAGATGAAGATATTGTTTTTGTAAGCAGTAAAGTTAAGATGAATATATTTGAAAAATATGAGAATTTAATTTTCATGTTTTTGGTCTTTCATCACCCAAGGGCAATAACTTATAATTCAGTTCAAGGGTGGTAATTTAACTGTTGAAACATTATGCTTTAATTTGGAATAATAGTGCTTTTCTTTTGGAGAATGTTTCTCTTTTAATTGATAAATAGTTTATAATGGGTTTCAACATGAGCAGACTTTTTCGTAGTAGATACAATAGTTTACTGAAAAAAAAAGGTTTCTTTACACATTTCTTTAAATTTCACTTTATCCTAGTATTTTAAATAATATTCCTTTACAACTAAATGTAAATTGTCAGTATTTATTTTTCAGTAGTATATGTTAAAACAAGAAATCAAGCCCAGTAAGACTTTTCAAGTAACTGGACTAATCCTAGTTTTCCTGGCTTTGACTTGTGTTTGAAATTATTTTGTAACTTGAATAAGTAGGTAACTTTGGAAGGGTAGTTGTATTGCATTTCATTATAATATATAGGAGAGTAACATAGCACTATTTCTTTTAAATTTTGGATTATAATTACATAAGTTGAAATATAAAAACTTTACTATGAGTGGTGTGTTATGTGAATTTATCAAATTTCTTTATACTGTATATAGGAGAGTTATAGAGATTATATGCTGCTACCTTTTGATTTTTGAAATTCTAAAATGAAATGCTACCACAACTGGCCAAAAATGGTGAATGGTAGTCACAACTTATGAGATCATTCATTTAAGCACCTAGGTTTTATCCCTTATTCAGCTGTTTTTCATGACTAGTTTCTCGCTTGTATTTGAGAGATATCATAATTAGAGAGATCAGATATCCCCACTGCAGTTATTTTTTTTGTAATTATACCCTTGGTTGTGTTCTGTAGCCAGAATAATTTATCTGTTTGTATTTAACTGCACAATTTCAGTTCAAATTTATTGTTCATCACTGTATTTTTTCACCTATTGATGATTTTTGTATTAGGTTGCAGTATATTCAGGTACATTATCTAGCTTTGTTTAGCACAAATCATAACGTATTCTTTCTGTGTTTGTTAATTTACTGTTTTTATGAGATTAGCACTTTTTCTTAATAAAATAGCAAATGGATATTTGAATTTAGCTTAATTCATCTGTAAATATATTTTACAGTTTAAGTATTAAATTAATAAATTATTTTTATACCATTCACTCCTAGTGGGATCAACATATTGCAATTTATTTAGTAATTTTGCTTTTGCATGCTACAGTACTTGTTTAAAAAACTGAGAAAACACTTGGGGAATTACTAATTTTTTGTGTAAAGTACATATGGAACACCGGCACTATTTAGTGAGAGTAATTGCAATAGTGATGATTTTTAAAATCTATTTGTGAATTGTATGTTATTAAGAACAATATAACCAACAAAGTTATAGACACAAGCAATTTCGATGCACAAATACTTTAAAAATGTTTAAAATCTGATTTGGTTCAAACTCATTGTTAGTGCTAGGGTTATCATGTTTCTGACTTGAAATAAATTAATATTATTTTCGTTGTCATGTGACAGATGAAGTTCGATACTTATGCCTTGTGATAATAACAGTTTTGTAACTTGTTTCTTAATAAGGGAACTGTTATCATCATTGCCAACCATGGGGACAGAATTGATATACCACCTGGTGCTGTACTAGAAAACAAGATAGTTTCTGGTAACCTTCGAATCTTGGATCATTGAGACAAAAAAAAAGCAGCTTTAAGCTAGAAAAACCAGACAGATATGATCATATCTAACTTGCTGGTCACCTTATACCTGAGATTGTTTTGTTGACAGAAATAGTTAACTAGATTGAACATTCTAACTTTAATATAAATTATGTACTTGGTAATTTTTTACATGAAAAATAATCTTTACTTTTTTACTTATATTTTTACTATTAATGATAACTAAAGTAACTTGTAACATTTTTTGTGGTACAACAGGAAATCAGTTTAAGGCTGATTTTCGTTTTGTTTCCAGTAAAAACCAATTAAGAAAATATCATGCAGTAGTTTTAAAACAAAAATTATAATCAGCTAAAAGGTTAACTCCGATATCTTCAGAATTCAAGGTGAATATGAAACATCAGTTAATTGTATGAGTTTCCTTCTATAATATTATTTTAGCAGTTTCAAAGTTTTTATATAGTATTTGGGACAACCTCTTAATATTATGCCACAATCAGTTTTAGTTGTGACAACTGGACAAAAGAATTTGAATCAATAATATTGAGATGAAAAGCAAGAGCAAAAATAGTTTGCATTTTGAGGTATTAATGTATAATTGGCTGAATAATTACTTCATTTATGTTGTAAAGTAACTGACCAAATATTTCCTAGAACGATCGTCAGATTTTTTATTTTCAATGAACCTGATATGATGAGTTTTTATTTAATATAGAATTACTGAGAAATATTTCATAACAGAAGATTTCACACAAGTTTTGAAACATCTGCCTATCTGCTCTTAACAATTAATACAACTCATTTTCCTAAGTTTTGTAAATTCTGCTGAAAGTTTCAACATATTTGATTACAAAAATTTAAACCTTTATTTGAGATTTGTTAAGTAACAAAATATTCTTCACCATAAAAATATAAATAAAATTCTGTCACTTTTTTTTTATGAAATTTAATTACTATTTTATACTGGTAAAGCTTTTATGAGAGATATCTGAGGGAACACAACACTGTATGAATTGCCATAAGGTATTAATATGCAACTCATCTGTATTTGATCTTTCTTATGCATTGTTTTGATTTCAAGAACTAATTTATGAGAACATTTTAAATCTGATCATAAGGTTATTATAAATGAACATCAATGTTTGAGGCAACTTGCTTGTACTAAATAACTTTTCTATGTAAAAACTATTAAGACCTAGTCAAGATATAGTTACTTCATTAAATTTTGTGCCATGATCTTAAAACTGAGTGAATAAAAGAATCTTTGTATCAATTAGAAACTCTTGGTAGTTTTAGACTCTAAAAATAAAAATAAGCATTTCTCAATGTGGTATAGGGTAGTTTCTTGCTCTCAGAAAAACAACACAATTTCGTGAACAAAAAATTGAGTACAAAACTCCAAAGCATAAACTTGAGTGTGTGTGTGTGTGTGTGTATTTATATATATATATAGAATGCACTGAATACAATAGCAGTACAAAATCGTATGAAAAATGTTCTGTCACTTTTCATAATTTCATATATTTTAAGTAGAAAGTAGAAAACTGTTGTTATGAATGGTCATTAAGACAGTACCTAAAATAATTTTATACTTATTTTCTGTGAAATGTATGTATTTGGAAACATGACCAAACCTTTTTGCTGGAAACCTGAACAGATTGGAATTTTCTTTGTGAACTCCAAGGATTTTATTAAAAATTAGCTAGTGCTTATGTTGCTTTTGTGTATGATTTATTTTGCATGTATTATCATTCCCCAAATTTTATACTAAGAGGTACATTAATCTTGAATGATTGAAAACGAGGTTTATTTCGGCCTTAAGTTACAGTCAAAGTTTTCGGCAAATAACTTATGAACACCTAAATATTAATGTGATTCCAACTAGACATATTTAGTAGGCATTCATTCAAAATTAACAAAATTCCCTGATACACAGCCCAAATTTTGTGTCATTTTGAAACCCGTGTCTGAAGGCTTTTCGCGGCAGATCTCGCTGTATAATACGACCGTCTCGTTGATTACTTCCCGACCAATCCAGTTACAAAATAATTGACCAACCGTGATACCAACTTTTGGAGAAATGTAGAGCATATTACCTCCACTGGTTCTCATGGAAAACTAGAAGAAAAAAGTTAGGTTACACTGTGTACAACACTTCATAACAAGTGTTTTCTGGAAATAAGTATTAATCTTACATGTCATTAAATTTCGCTTAAAAGCGATATCGAATGTAGAATATCTATAAACCATTGATTGTTTCAAATCAAATTCTGTACCGAGATATAATTATTAAAATGTACTCTTGATATTCATGGCACATGTTTGCAAAGAATAAAAACTTCGGTATAAAGTCACATGGAAATACTGCGGGGTTTATGAACATAATACGAAACCTTTCACTGTTTGAAGGACAGGCGCAGTTGAAAAAAATGGACATCGTATTCTCTCTCTTTTTTTTTTTTTGTTCATGCTACCATCCTAAACAGTAAACAAAAAGTGTATATGAGCGTTCTTAAACCATGATATTTGTTAATTTAATAATGTCTGAAATACGTAATACATATGCTTAATTCGATTAAGTGTCGTTTCTCGACCTAGTATTAAGAGCACTGAACTCGCAACTTGCTGGTCACGAGTGCGCCAGCCTATTAACATTTATTTTTTATCTCTCATTATATAATTGCTTTTGTAACACTGTGCAGACATGCGGAAATGGCATTTTCATACTTTTAAGAGGAAATTTACTAAAAATGTTCATTTGCAGTAATAATAAAGGAACCATTACATATTTCGGATTCCCCCCCCCGTTCCTGGACACTAAAGTTATACGTGAAACGGGTTACACTTCCAGATCTGGCTACGGGCTTGGTGAAAGGAAACTGAACTGCATGCTTGAGGTCTGCCAAGATACTATTATACAACATGGAATATTGGTAAATCATATTAAAATATGTCCATAGGTTAGATACGTCGTGGTTCTACCACCATTAACAAAGTGACAATAATGCTTGGAGACGGCTTAAATGGGTAATGAAGAAAGTAACAATGTTGTGTTTAAGTACACTGATATGTAAGAGATAGTTAAAATTTTCTATAAAAACTGATATTCACGAAGTGTTGTGCAGAGATTAAGTTGAACAGGGACAGTAAATAAAACAGAAGTGAACTGAACAAATGAAATATTTATTCATGCGAACGATGATTGTATATTTACCTCACTTACTGGCCGACTTCTAACTTTCTGAATGACAACACTGACTACTAGGGCTGGAGAAGGACTTACTAAATGTCGACACATTACAAAGACATCGCGATTACGAATGAAATACCGTATTTTCAAACCAGATAAAGGGATCTTTGTATGGCATACCACAATATTCCGATGAATTATGTCAACGACTATTCAAAATAACATATACAAGGAATAGTACGTTCAATTCACACCAAGTTACACAAGTATCTGTGTCGCCCCGCCTCAGGAAGCCGATACAGATATATGGTCAAACTGGTACGAGCTTTTATGAAAACGCCGATGCCATATTTAACTTTGCCCAAATAAAAGCATTAGTTCATGTTTACAACCTTTAGACAACCAGTTTGCAAAGATGCCATTAGCTACGTGCATAACACCTAAAAGCAATTTTAAAAAAATAGCCGAATATACCTTATGATAGACATATTCTAAGTTAGTTATGGAAAGTTGGAAATAACATTTCTCAATTGTGACAAAAGATTTAAGGTTTCACAAAATATCACTCCGAAACGTGTGTTATAGGGGAAACATCGATTGAATGTAGATATTTTTATCGCATTCATCACGATAAGTCATACATATTTCGAATCACGAGCGTGTAAAAATGAGGTTTGATATTTATCTTTTGATTACCACAAGTTTGCCCAATAGGTCCGGTGCACAATGCTAGAACTCATCAGCTGGGCTGAACCTTTGGTGGTCGGAAGTATATCTGAAGTGCTGTTTTTATGCAAGAAATATATTGCAATTGTAACACACTTAAGCAGACAAAGCAAAGAGACTTTTCAGACCTAACAAAAGTTGCGAAAAATTACGCTTTACTGCATTTGCTTTATTGTTTTATTTTTCAGTCACATTCCTCCTATTAGTCCAATACAGATTTTGCATCAGTAACGAAAGCCTCGTTGCTCAAAGTTTTACATCACTATGATAATTAAAAATCAATTTTATATACGTATTTTACATAGATAGGTAAATGACTTGAAAACTCACCACAAGATGTCATTCTGTCCCAGAAACAGGTATTATAGACGAAAAGACAAAAAAAAATTACTCTTTACAAAGTATTTGAACTTTATAAATTTTATACCTAATATTTTATCTCGTTTAGTATAGCTTGCTGAAGATGGAATATGTACGTTCCGAAACGTTCAAGAATTAAATGTTTGATACCGTACGCACACGTGCCAAATTTTTGTTGTTGCCGTCGTTCTACTGCTTATCAAGAAAAATATTTTTTTTTAAAGTTATCTAACGTAATACCGAAGTAAATGTTTAGTTGAAATATTATTTTATTAGAAACTGGAATTTCAATCTTAATGAAATCTTAGTTGTTGACCTAGTGTGCAGTACTGTACTAGTACATATGTATCATAACTGCATACTAAGATACTTTTGATATCTAAAGTACACAATTTTTTCAAATAATAAATAATACACAACGCTAAAATGCGTACACAATTAAAGTTGTTTTTAATCAAGGCCAATCTATGGCCTCCAAAAAGTTGACTTCGCATCTTTCGACGTTACATCGTCATCATTAGGAGTGCATTACGAGACATGATACTCTCATATTTACACCTTTTTTTTTTAACTAGGTCATGTGACCTAGATATAATTATGACACTATAATGTCTTGCAATTCACTCCTGATGATGACATCGAAACATGAGAGTCAACTTATTGGAGCCCATAGATTAGTCTTAATTAAAACTGTTTTAATTGTGTACTCATTTTAACGTTATGTGTTATTTATTATTTCAACATCATATCCAAGTACCAAGAAACAATACTCATACAGTTCTTTATTATATTTACATGTTTTCTGAATTATGAACCAATACCTCATTAAGGTGACGTTGTTTTAAATACCAGTATTTTTAACAAAATTTAGTTCAGTTTCTTAAACCATTCGAAAGATAACACATCTAAATAACTACAATAATACTTTATATTCTCAACTTACTGCACATTAGTATAAACTGGTGAGTGAAGTGGAAGTCAAAGTCTGGCTGTTTAAATACTATTTATAATAACAGTTTTATCTTTGTTTGTTTTGTAAATCCGTGAGAAGTTTTCTGGGTAATAAAGTATATAAAGGTGAAATTGTAAATTCATTAAATTAAAAAATAATAAATACGAGTGTTGTAACCTAATATTTTTTTTCGGAATAAGAATACGTTATAAAATGTTATATTTATTATTACTTACCCTGTATCTACATAGTCCAGCACACATGTCCCTGGCTTGGTTGTCACAGCCAAGTCGCGGTATAACATGTTTCTTGTCCCGTATGAAGTTAGTGCTTACCAGTCCACCTTTGTTACTGGCATACACACTGCATACACACTGTTGAAACACAGCACCATCTCTAATAAAATAGATACAGGTTTATTTCGTTAGTTATACAGTTTAAGATGAATTATTTTTAAGTCTGAGGTTGCTTTCTGTACTAGGGATGTTAATAGTTTAACTGTTAGCCAAGTGTCAAATATTTTAAATTTCACTTAATATATTACACGTTAAAAATGTACAAATCAAATATTAAGGAGCTATGAGTAATTAGAGGTTCACCTCCTAATGGCTCAAAGGTAAGTCTGAAGGCTTATAACGCTAACACCAGGTTTCGATATTCGTGGTAGGCACGGCACAGACAGCCCATTGTGTAACTTTGAGCTTAGTTACAAACAAACAAAACTCAGAGGTTCTTTCGTTGTTTACTTCCTACTTTTGTCAGGTGGTATTACTAGCAGATAGTAATATTCATGTTTCATCTTAACCTTGTATTTGTAAAGATGTGTCATGCTACTACTCAGTTTTGAACAAATTTCTCTATTTCTATAATTACATTATTAAAATTAACAGATTATCATAGAGTCGGTAGATGTAGGGATGGCCAACATACTCCATAGGCATAATACAAACATATACGCTAAAATAATCAACTGTGACAGAGATTTTTACTTTAAACGACGGTTGCCACTCAATTTCATTTGTTTCTCTACCCAACAAGGCAAGAAACCATCACTAAGATACCAAACCAGAAAGCGACCAACCCAACAAATTGTTCATTTTTCTTCTTCTTGTTTCAGTTGGGATAACTCTGCAACTACTTTATCATGAACGTCAGTTTAAAGCTAAATCCGCTCTTATGTGTTTCTGGGCAGTGCACGATGTCATCACTTAGTCGTAATAACTATTAGTAATTAAAAATAATAATAATACTAGTGCAAACGATGTTTCATTACCCCTTGAAGTTAGCTTTATTACAGACATCTGGTGTTCCTTTAAAAAAGCTTAAGTACAGGGTGAAACAGGCATTACCAGCTAATAATAGATAAGTATTTGGTGACTGTAATATATAGAATACTCAATGAATTAATTGTTTCGTTTTGTGTTTAACTGCTGATAAAGTATATTTTATTACAATTTACGGCTTTTACAGAAAGTAAGATTAGTCTTTAGAACAGGTACGACGTTTCGATCACTGGTGCAATGGTTATCAAATACACAAGTTTTTACATTTACAAAATGTTTTTATTGCTTGTTTTGTGACGCTTTTTCCCATGATTGAAAGTTAGTGTATTCTATGAATGTGTGTTATAAAATGTAATATTATGTGTATTGCTTTTTTTACTCCTTCCCTTCATGCATAATATACGGGTTGGATCCCTAAACACACCGATTGTATAGTGTATAAAGCAAGATAGAAGTAGTTCCAATGTTTCACTAACTTTAACACTAGATAATGCACACCAAATCAGATTAAAACGTTAATTTATCTAAAGTATGCCATCGAATTTTAAAAGTGGTACGATAATATATATACATGCATGCGTGTGTATGTATTTACATAAAATGTAAATTTATGTAAGATAAGTAATCAAATTTAAAATACCCCCTTCCACACACACACACACCGTGGGTCAACAGCAAATTTGCAAGCTTATAATGCTAATAACCGGTTTCGATACTCGTGGTGGGAACGTTGCGCTTAACAACAAACAAATACATTGTAATAGCGGTATGTATATTCAAACACGAATATGCATAAACAAATATGTGACTCTTTTTGAGAACATCACAGTTCTTTTCGGTTCTTTGATTTCAAATTTCAATGTTATATTCAAGTTCTAAAAAAAGTAAAATAAAATAAAAGTAATAAACGTTTTAAAAGAGCGTTTCATAAATATTGTTTCGAATATTCACCCAAAACAACACCAAGGCAGTCTCTAATATTATAGAAACCGGCTATTCTGGTGAACACTTCAATAGCTAGGAGAAATTCCTTACACCCGGACATTTTCTGGCTATTGATGCACACTTCCGACTTGAAATTACTGTAAACTGCACCAAAGTTACTGTACAAATAGGTAGGAAAAATTTTCTTTTGGGCGAAATTTGAGATTAATTACGGCATAGCCGCTTTGTTTGGGGGGAGGGGGTGTCGAGTAGATGCAGTACATACGGTCTCAGTTCAAAGCTTCCCTTTGGTTGTGCTGCCCTCTTTCTGTATTAACTTGTTTTGTTTTTTACAACTTTGTTCATCGTGAAAATGTCCAAAAGGCAAGCAAATAGTCCTGTAGCTGGTGAAAGTACCAAGAAGAAGCAATTTTCACTAATTATTGCGAAGAAGGTGGAATTACTGAGGAAATTAGAGAAGGGAGCCTCAGCCCCACCATTTACGACCTCAAAAAACAAAAGGCTCAGCTGTTGAAATTGTATGTTAACAGTGAAGTGTCAAAATTTGTGGGAAAAAAAAACAACATTGCATCAAGCTAAGAACATTGATCTGGACAAAGTGTTTTTTGAGTGGATAAAACTTCGTAGGAGTGAGAAAGTTCCTTTGCTTGGTGATATGATCATGAATTAGGCCTAACTCCATGCGGCTACTCCTCAGACTGGTTCACAAAATCCAAGAAACGCCATGGCTTACGATTGTTGAAGGTGTATGTAGAAAAAGCATCAGCCCATCATGAAGCTGCTGAAACATATTTAGATGAATTTTCCGAGATGATTTAGGATGACTATATATCTCCCGATCAGGCGTATAATGCCGATGAAACATCTTTATATTAGCGATATATACCCGAGGAGACCTATATTACTGCAGATAAGTCAGCACCCTCAGAATTTAAGGACTCAAACGAAAGGCTTACGGTCTTCGAGTGGTCTAATGCAGCTGGAATACACAAGTCAAAATTATTAGTCATTGATAAAAGCCAGAATCCTAGGGTATTGAAGGGGGTCAGGATTTTGCCAGTGTTGTATATGGCCAATAAACGTGCATGGATTACAACTGAACTATGTCTGGACTGGTTTTATAACAACTTTTTGCCTCAGGCCAGGACATATTGTCGGTCGTTTTGTCTTCCTAAAATTGTATGATTATCTTTGTGTTGGATAACTGCTCTGCCCTCCCTGGTGTGGAACTCCTTGGGTGTCTATACTCTACCCAATTGTACATCTCTTATTCAACCCATGGACCAAGAAATTATGTGTGGTTTTAAGTGCTGCTGTACCGACGAATTCATGCGGAAAATGCTAATTGCATGCAACAGTGACGAAGGGATTTAAGCGTTCCTAAAGAATTCTGCCATCAAGAGTGCTATTTGATGGCGATGCTAGGGTCATGGGACAAGGCACCCAAGGACATTTTGGTAAACGCTTGGAATAAAGAGTGGCCTTCTACAATGATTTTTTGAGAACAATGCTGAACCTGATTTCCATGAGTTTCATGCTGCACAGAAAAATGAATTGTGCAGAATTTGTTGGAGTATGCTAAAGAATTGTCATGTGAAGAAGCCAGGATGTTACACGTACAGGATGTCGAAGAATGTATGCATGTAGACGATGTTGTTCCAGTGGAGAACCAACTCACAGACAGTGGAATATTGCAAATGGCGATGAATCCAGACATGGGAAAAAATGAGAGAGATGATAAGGATGATGCTTTGAAAAAAACAGGAAAACATTTATATTGATAAGTGTATCAGCCTTACCAAGGAACTAATAAAAAGTCTAGAGCAAAGGAGCTATATTAGTGAACTACACATTACGAGTGTTATTAAAATTCAAGAAATATTTCTAGCAGAAAAGCCAAAGTGTATGAAACAAGTGAAGCTTCAAGAAAGTTACTGAACATAGTGAAAATCCTTTAGAGCCCACACTTCCAACTTCTACAGATATTGCTTCACCCATCCCTGCCCAAGAGATTCTGTTAGATGCTTCCTCGTCCTCAGATGAAATGTAATTAAAGAACATTTATCCTACTGCTCCTGCTTTCTAAGCAGAATAAACAACGATAATTTGGTAAGTAAATAACAACCTTTATATACGTATTTCATACTTTATTTATATCATCTGTACATGCCAGGCCGAACGACCCAAAAACCGAAAATTTCCGAAACTCAGCATGGATAAGGCCCCTGGCATTCCGGTTTTGAAATCGGGGTACCTGAATATATCTATTATCCCAACTATACATGGATATAGAAAGCTTATTAAAATAACAAATACCAGCTGCATATATTGTACCTAAATTCTTTCGGTTGCTGGTACTAAATAGAGCGTATCGATGAATTAACCTGATTGTTGGTACTGGACAGAATGTAACACCGAATTAACGTGACTGTTGGTACTGGACAGAATGTAACACCTAATTAACCTGATTGTTGGTACTGAACAGAATGTAACACCGAATTAACCTGATATAACACCTAATTGCCCTGATTTATGGTACTGAACTACCCTGATCACCGGAAACGAGCATAATGCAACACCAAATTACCCTGATTAGTGATATTAAATACAATGAAAAGGTTAGAAGCTATTCGTTCAACCTGGATCTTCTTGTTTCATCTTATAATATATATATATATATTCTTAAACTCAAAAAAGTAAACATGAAATTGAAACGAACATTAATATGTGAATTAATGAAATTAAGAACCTCTTCTCCTAGATTTCAACAATCGATCAACAAAAGAGAACACATTCACTTCAGTACATTTTGTGAAATAATATAAATCAATTTTGAATAATTTTTTGAAAAACAAGTATATATCTAACAAAAGGTTTGAAAGTGCAGAAAGCATATATCTGATGTAATACAATTTACTTCACATTTAGTAAAATGTTTTTTTAAAAGAAATAATAGAGTATAAACAGTCAATACGACATATTCTACCTTACTGTAACTGAAAACAGCCAGTTTATATATCTAAAATCGAAATTTTAATTTGTTCGATGCATCAACTATTTAGTGTTGATTGCATAGAGCGTAGATAATAGTTTATAATATTTGATTTATTTTAGATAGAAATGTCATTTACATGATACTCAAAGCAAACTTATCCAGTTATCATTTACTGCAACATAAATATATTTATCCAAACATACAGAGACAACTAGGTAAATTGCACCATTAATACTTATGATACATGATGGCATAGTTACCGTGGCATACAGAGGACGAGAAGTGACAAAAACAACAATAAATCTTTACTTTTCATTATTCCAAGTGAATGTCCTTTGCAAACTGACGTTAACCACCGTTTAAACAGCTTGTTTTATATCCACCTCTTGTCGACTGGTTTTTAAAACATCAACCTTTTTCTTTGTTCCACTGATCTCTTACCGTCCTATTTCATCAGGCTGCGTAATCAAATTAAAACATTACGTTATGTGTGAACTGCTAGACGTCAGTTAGTTCTCAGAAGTCAATTAACTATCAACGCCTTGGCTCATCGTTGATTTAACTCTACTAACAGGATGTTTTAATATTGTCTTATTTCTTGATAAGACTCGTGTAATTTGATGTTGCCTTTTCGCGTGATACTGGTCTTAACAATATATCGAAGATTACGATGTGAACAGTGCGGTTGAAGCGTTACTAGTAAATATACACCGGTACAGGTTGAAGAAGTACATAAGCTATAGAGTAACATAAAAAAAATTAAAATGCACGAATAGATCAACATGAAAATAGTCTATAACATTTTAATAAGGATATATAGAAGCTTAGTGATAGGCTTCGAGTTTTCTTTAATTTGTGTGACATTTTATGCCTATGAATGTTTTTATTAAATCTTTGCACTTACAAACTCCTAATCACATCCAATATTAGTAGTGCACTGAAGATTGAGATGGATTCCACTGCTTCGTTTTAAATGTCTGCTTTAGTAATATTCTTAATGAATTGAGAATAAGAAACTAGATGTAATTTGAAATGAAAATGCTGGACAGCGAGTTATGTTCTTCAGAAGAGATAGGCAATCTTTCCTTCAAATGTCTGTACCAAACTTTGCTCTAGGTTTTCTGAGTGATTTCCAGTAAAGCATTACACTGTTAACACATAAACCTTGTCTTTTAATGGGCAATGATATATATATATATATATATATATATATATATATATA